GGACAAATTGTTAAAAATCAGGACTGTCCCGCCAAAAGCGGGACTGTCTGGTCGCCTTAGTTATAATGGGACAGGTTGCGAGCAGGCTGTTGGGGTGGGAGGACCCGGCCGAGAGGGGTGAGAGGACAGGGAATGACAGTGCTCACAAGATAGCCCTGGTGTTGTTTGGAAGGCTGGTGTCTAATGGCAAAGGTTCCTACCACACACAGATGTTCTCCAAAATGTGTCCTGAAAAAAAGAACTTTTGAAAAGGGGCTCATAGGATAATAATACGTGACTAAAGTTCTGAGACATCGAGCATCAAAGAAACCTGTTTCCTGTGTCTAACCACACTTTCCGGACCCTTGCATGTATAATCGAGTGTACGTCGTGTCTATTAACAATGTCCTAAACTAGCATTCTTCTGAGCACATTTTAGCAACTCTGCTTCATCACCTGCTGGAACTTTTACGTTAACACGATGAAGTGAATTATGATCACAGTATGTATATTGTACGGAGAATGTTTACAGCTGCTTGATGAAGTTCTGAGCTGTCTTAATTCATGTTCTCTATTTCACTTCTCCCCTAGATCTCTCTGGGTCCTAATATCCATTGCAGTGGCCACACAGAATCTCACAGACAAAATCCACGATTAAAGGGTTTATTAAGGAAGCTAACTGGTCGTAATGGCAGTGAGAAATGCTCAGGGTAGTTCTTTACCAAGACATCGTACAAAGTTTCAGGTCTGCTAATAAATGTCCAACGGGCAGACCACTCTGCTGTAAGCCTCAGCCTGAAGCCATGCAGCCCAAGCTCCACGAGTCAGCAAATCCAAGCCCCTGGAGTAAGTGCCCAGAGACACCTCACTCCAGTAAGCCTCCGTCTGAGGCACTCAGATCCACTTCCGTGAGTCAGCAAGTCCACCTTCCCCAATTAAGTGCCCAAAGGCATCCCACGCTGCGAGCCAGCCTCCTCCTGCATCACCCTGTTCGTGCTCTGGCTCCTGGTCCTGCTGCTGCTCCTCTCATGGGATAGCTGTCATCCGGATCCAGGCGGTTCCCTGCCCAGGGACCTTGGGTCCAGATGGCAAGCTCCTCGGGCTCTTTCTGGTCATGAGATCCTTCCTCCTGCTTCTCAGAGGGCTAGTTTTATACACAGCAGGATGGCACGCCAGGGAATCCTAGTCGTAATTACTCACAGGTGAATCTTATCAGTGGCTTCTCCCACGTTCTTACCAGACCCATGCAGGGCAAGGTTGTTTGGTGGGAGTTAGAAACTTTAGCTGGAGAAGCCACATTAAATAATTCACTGCCCCGGCAGTTTCCCTTTAAAAATCCTATTTTCCTTTTAAAGTTTGGATGAACGTACCACATATTTTTAAAAAGCCAAAAGGAATATGATTTGTAAGGCATGTGTTAGGTTTACTTTACTTTTCTATGACGGTAAATAGCAGACAACACAGTTGGGCTGGACACAGTCAGAATTCACCCACAGCTGACGAGCTAAGTCCACACTGACAAGCCTCATCTAGATCAGGAATCAGCCTTCCAGTAAAGGCAGTTACAAAGGTGCCCACAGTGTAGTAGTGATTCTTTCATTGACAGCTGACATCAATTCATTTAGTGTGAAAAGTTTAAGACACATCATCCCTCCCCCCAAAAAATCCTTTTTAATAAAGATTTTTTTAAATGGTTGGCATTCTTTTGGTTTCTTTAATCAGTGCTCCTGGCAATTACAGAGACTTTTTTCTTTTCATTTTTTAAAACTGTTCTCATTTGAGTCTTAGCCACCAGTTAAGTACTCTGACCTTATGGCGTGTAAGCCTGCCCAGAAATCAGACCCCGGTTGAACTACCACAAAAGTATAAATGAACATTTAAGGCCAGAATCTTCCCTGTTGCCTGTGGAGTCTCTGCTGAAATGAATCAGGATTGGTGCTCTATAGTGAGACAGAAAACAACTGCATATTATCTGCCAGGACACTGGGGGTTTATATTGATGTGTAACAAGTTGATTTGGAATACTGGAATTTATTCTATTTTCTGTGTGTGTGTGTGTGTGTGTGTGTGTGTGTGTGTGTGTGTGTGTGTGTGTGTGTGTGTGTTTCCTTCCAAATGTTGGTGACAGTCAGCCCTGTAACACTCTCCAGTAAGGGCTACTCTCTCCAACCCCTTTTTCTAGGAGGTCTGCATCAGAAGTCTTGCTTCATCAGACTCGGCCTTCTTAGGCCTCCATACTATTTTGTTTTTTGGTTTTTTTCCCTCCTCCTCTTTTATAAAGGCAATTAACTAACCCCAGGAAGGATTCTTCAAGTTATGTAATACTGTTTTTTTGAAATCCCAGGCTCATTGGTAACTTGGTCTTATTCTTCCAATTGACATACAATTTTCAATGGAAAGGCCCAGATTTGAAATAGTGTTTATTTCCATTGTTTCTGTTTCTCAAGTTTAAAAAAAACCAAAAACTAAAGCTATATAAAGCTTGTAGATTAAACAGAATAAATTTCGGAATTAAAAATACAAGTAGTTGTAACCTCATCTCTGGGGAAACCTTGGGCAATAAAATTTCTGGTGTTAATCACAACATTCACATGCATTTCTACTCTGTAAGCCTCCGAGTTGGAATTCCATCATCTGTAGTGGGAAGACTACACAGTAACATTAAAGTGTGGAAGAGAGAAAACCTCTCCAGTCTCTCACACTTCGTTTCTCAGATATTTCAAGAACAGTATCGAAAAGTCCATCCGGAAGGTGAGCTGTATTCATGCTTTTGCGGCCCCTCCCTAAGCGAGAGCTAGGCTCGTGCACCCCCATGCGCTGTAAGCTTTAAAGAACAGAACACCACTGCTGTGAGTTGATTCCAATTCACAGTCCATACAGGACAGACTAGAAAGTGCTCCATCAGGCGTCCACGCTGTGCTCTACAAGAGCAGACTGCCGCGTCTTTTCCTACAGAGAAGCTGGTGGGACCAAGTCACCAGTCTTTCAACGAGCAACCCAACACTTGACCTACTTTGCCACCAGGGCGCTTCTGAACATTAGGCTTGGCCGATGGGAAGTGAGTGGGAGCCACCCGAGTCACCTACAAACAGAAAGCTAGCGTGTGGATCTCCCATCCTCTCTCCTTCTACCACAAGTCAGTGTCCATGCGAGGGCTGTTCTGTCAGCCTAAGTTCCTGAATGATGGTGACAGAGGGGCCGATCCCCAAGGGGCAGGCAGCAGGAGCAAGAAATAAGTCTTGGTCATTGTTAGCCATCAGGAGCTGGGGGTTATTTGTCACCGCAACACAATTCAACCCATTCTGACGATTACAGAAACCTCAGCGCTCTATTCCAGGAGACTTGAGAGTTCAATTGTGAACCGCAAGGTCAGTGGTCAAACCCAGCAGCCGCTGCACAGAAGAAAGACGTGGCAGTGTGTTTCTGTCCAGACGACAGCTGTGGAAACCCTCTGGGGTGGCTATCCTCCATCCCATAGAGTCTCCTTTGATGGTACTCTGTGTTCACTCCACAGGAATGAATCACGTTCCACCAGGAACGTTCCCAGGAGTGACGGTGTTCCACTAGGAACATAAACTCCTGGAATGGGAGAGGGCATGTGGTGGCAAATTAATTTTATTTCTCCCGGCAACTCTAAACCCCGAAGCAAACCAAACGAGTTGCGGTCAACTCACTTCCAACTCATGGTGACCACGTGTTGTAGAGAAGGACTGTGCTCCAGTGGGGTCAGCCTGTGACCTGGCCGAAGCACATCACCAGACCTTTCTTCTAAGTGTCCTCTGACTGGGTTTGACCCACTAACCCCCTGGTTAGTGCCTTGAACTCTTTTGCCACCCAGGGACTCCCAGATCCTCTCTCAGCCGTGGAATCACGACTTGACTCACCTCCGTAAAGAAGGATGCTAGGTCTTGTTCTTGCCCAGCGGCAGCGGATGCTATGTGAATTCCTATGCCTTCCACGTGGGGGGAGCACGGGAAGTGGTCCATCCTTGGCCTACAGCCTGCACTCACTACCTTTCTCGGTTGGTTTGTATTTTCCAATTTTGTGAACAAGGTCTGGTTTGTTTCAGGCACTTAGAAGTGAACAAGCATTCACCTAATGTCATTTGCTATGTAAATGTTCATCTGATGTACAATGAAACATGAAAGAGAAATAGAGAGCGCGAGTATGGATTAGACACAGAAGGAACATACTTGGATGTGTTATCAGGACGTGGAGAAGGTCATCATGCTTGGTAAAGTAGAAGGTCCACAAAAAAGAGGAAGGTCATTAACAAGATGGACAGACATGGTGGCTGCAACCATGGCCCAAAGAGAGGAACAATTGTGAGGATGGTGCAGGACTGGGCAGTTTGTCCTGTTGTACATCAGGTCACTCTAAGTCAGAACCAAGTCAACAGCACCTAACAGCAACAACAACGAGTGAGGCCACCTGTCAGTTTGTCATGCTGCTACCGGGATGTTGGGAAGCTATGGCACTTGTATTTCAAATATCAGCCAGGTCACCCATGGTGGATAGATTCCAAGTGGTGTTTCCAGACTAAGGCTAGAAAGAAAGGCTTAGTGATCCCACCGAAAACCAGGCAGGTCGCAACAGAACAGTGCTGACAGGGGTGCTGGGAGATGAGCCCCCGCGGTAGGAAGGCAGCCCTCTCAGTCCACAGGGGCTGCGGGGCATTGGACTCCAGCATGCCCGTCAGGCACACTGTCATCGTGTTGTACGTGGGTCGTCAGGCCGTGCAGTCCATTCGACGGCAGCTAACAACAACGAGAAGACTGAGGAGTGTGTAGACGAGACCACTAGGTAGACATGATGTGCAAAAGGATGTGCAGGAGGCAAAACACAGTGTGGTAGACGCCGATCACAGTGGAAGCAGGGACTGGTGGCACAGGGACCCTAGCAAGAACTCCGGGCAGCATCCTCAAAGCACCTGGCCTACCTACTGCATAAGGGAGGGGAGTTTCAGCCAATTAGCACTAAGGCACGGGCACTAGATGAGCTCAGCAAGCAGGAGACGTTGGAACCATCAAGTGGCCGACATCTGGCTGCCACTCCTGATGATGGCAAGTGGGTGTCTCTGGTTCACTGGCAGCGAGTTGAAGCAATGGGTGTGTGACGGCAGAACGCCCCCACCCCCACCCACCCCCGACAATCCTGGCAGCTCTGTCCCTGGCCTGGCGCTCATTATTCTTTGTGCAGTGATAATGAGCCTGCTGCTTTGTGAGCTTCGGAGGTAAGGGGAAGAGATGAGCTGGGTTTAATGGCTGCTGACTCATAAGACATCGGGGCCCTGGCCTGCCTCTAATGTGAGGTGTGCACTTGAATCAGGAATGATTTTCCCTTCTGCTCAAGCAAAGATCGCCTGCTAAGGAAGGCTAAGCACGCAGGTAGGAACAGAGACCTGAGAACTCTGTTTCTGCCACCAGGGATGGGAGTGGGGAGAGGACAGAGCAGGTACACACACACACCCAGCCCTCCCGTTAGCTCTAACTGCTGCGGAAAAAAAGCATTAACACTGCCACTGAGTGCTACCCAGAGGGATTATCCTCATGTGGCCAGTGTTTCAGAAAGACTGTCCTGCGCAAAGGATCACTGTGGTTGATAAGACGACTCCAAGTTAGAGTGACCTCATGGGGCCGGAAGAGAACCGCTCCACGGGGCTCACTTGGCTGTCCTCTATGAGGCAGATGGCCAGGTCTTCCTCCCGCGTAACTGCTGGGTAGTTCCAAACCACCAACCTCTTGGTGTGCAGCTGAGCGCTTCACTGCTGTGCCGCCGTTCCCTGGCTGCAGAAGTGAATCAAGCCCCTGGCACCTCACGGAAGTGAAGTGTGCCGTCCAGAGGGGAGTGAACAGTGAGATACAAGACACGTTCAATGACGTATGGGCCTCACTGGGTAAAAGCGACAAGGTACGGGCATCCCGAAGCAAAATAGATTCCACGTGTCTTCAGAGGTGAGGGAAGGCTCCCACTGAGGTGGCATCTGAAGGCGCGGCAGGATGGCCCACAGCAGAGAACCAGGAAATAACAGTCCCTGCTGTGGCGGCTGGGGGGCAGTGCCCCTCAGGGCTTTTTCTGGGACCGGATCAGGGGCTGGAGACGTTTAGTTCTCCGGCTCTTTTTAAGGACATGCTTGGGAACTTGCACTTGATGTTCTATACGGAGGAGAAAACAATGAGACACCTTTTGGAGCATGTTGTGGGTGTTGGGTGCCATTGACCCCATTTGAACTCAGGGTGACCCACGTGCCACAGAAGGAAACGCCCGGTCCCGCGCCGTCCCCACAATGGCCTGAGTCTATTGTGGTTACTATGCGTCCATCTCTCCTCACTGAAGAACTTCTTTTCTGTGCTGGCCTTCCACTTGACCAAGCATCATGTCCTTTTCCAGGAGCTGGTCTCTCCTGATAACACAGGTCAAGTAGATGGACGGAGGCTTGCCATCCTCACTTCAAAGGATCGTTCTGGTAACATGAGGCGGGTACCTGCACCCACTGAGTCCCTGTGCATGACTGAGCACTGTGCTGCAAGTGTCGAACAGGATCTCTTTACACAGGTACTTTTTACACACGTTCCTTTGAACAGATTGGAAAACCGAGGCTCAGAGGGATTAAGCGTGTTAGCCGATGTCAAGCAGCCAGCAAGTATCATTGAGTCCATGTGCATCACTGCAGCCTATTCACCTTCTTGATAGGGACGCAAACATCATACTTTCTAGACAAAATCCCAGAGAAGAACACTCCCAACCTGCTCCACCCTGGGTAACCCTGTGAGTGCCACAGCTTGCCCAGTGAGCCTGTCCTGAGCGTGTAAGAGATGCGGGCAGAGGGTGTGAACACATAAATGTACCCACATCGAGCCCATAGCCAACCTGTTCTTTCCTTCCTGACAGATAACCTGTGTGTTTGGAGCCCTTTCTTTTCAGGAATGTATCCTACCACAGCCATGGAGGGTCGGGTCTCCCCAGATGCTCACTGCCATTGAGTCCATGTTGCAGGCTCACAGCCACCCGACAGGACAGGGTAGAACTGCCTCTGTGGGTTTCCAAAAGTGTAACTCTTTATGGGGTAAGAAAGCCTTGTCTTTCTCCAGCAGAGCAGCTGGTAGTTTTAAACTGCTGCCCGTCAGAATCACAGCCCAATATATAGCCACTATGCCACCAGGGCTCCTCTACAGTGCAGCTTCAATAGTAAGGGACGTCTGCTCGGAGCACTGTGCTCTTTTCAAGAACTATCTAG